ACCAGGGAAAACAGGGCAACATATGTACAAAGATACTCGACACAATGGATGTATGCATGGATTATGATAAGAGCTGTAAGAGCCCCCAAATAAAAAAAAATTTTTTTTAAAAACAGCACAGAAAGACAAAACTGGGATTGCCCTGAAATCAAGAAATAGTACCTGTTTATTACAGACTTTTCTCAATTGTCTCTGATTTGTGAACTTTTTTTAAAGAGTGTATTTGGGGAAACAGATTTAGTTTTACAGAAATGTGCCCCCTGTACCGCCTGGCCCCCAAGTATACTGCTTCTCCTCCTACCAGCGTCTTGGCACCGGAGTAGCACAGGACTTACCATCAATGGGCCAGTTTTCACTCACCACTTTGAACCTCAGTCAAGGATTTCAATGCAACAAGATCCACAATCGACACCCAGGGAAGCAATAGTGAGCTGGGGAAGGGTCTCCTATATTTGATGTTCTCACTCACTGCCATCGGGTCAATGTCAACTCATGGCGACCCTATAGCAGCTGGTGCTTTTGAACTGCTAACCTTGCAGTCAGCGGCCCAAAGTGTAACCACTATTTATTTGAGGCTGGATCGTTCCATGTCGTAGTCATAGCCCTGTCCACTCGGGTTCTGGTGTCCCTCACAGAGAACGCCCTCTTTCAAATGCCTTGGTCACATTTCTAAATGCAAGTCTGGACGGGGGCTGGTGGGTCCCCCCAAGCTTTCAGGATCCTGTGCTCCCACCACAATCTGATCCTGCCTCCACCTCACCTGGCCCCCTCAGCCACAGTAGAGGATAAGGCCATGTAGCCTCACACCTAATCGGCACCAGCCTATGCCCAATAGTACACACAGTGCCGGGGAACAGGACTGTGCGGAGACCAGAGACATAGCATCCTGCTCCTCCCGGACCAGTCTGGCTTCAGCCTGCCTCCCATCTCTCCTAGCAGATATCCCACCATCTGCTCTGTTTGCACCCTGGAAGCCTCTGAAAAACAGGGTGGGTTTCTGGTCCATCGGATGCCTGGGGCCTGGTCCTCCTGCACTCCCCCAGGAGGTTCAGATTCCCCACCCATACCTCCAGAAACAAGGACGTGTGAGCACATACCAATAGCCAATCAATCAATCAATCACTGTGAGCAGAATGGCAAACCCGGGGACACTTACCAGACAGACAAGAGTCCTGAGGAATCATAAACCTATCAAATGGATGCTTTCTCATGTCCATTTTTTAGACGAGGAAGCTAAGACTGAGAGAGGTAAAGCAACTTGCCCAAAAGTAAGCTGAAGTTTACTTGGCCCCCAGGCCTTCTACACATGCCCAGTCTCCTTCTCAGGCTGCAAGTGGCCCTCCCCTCAGGGCAAACCCTCCACCTCCACGTGACCGTGGACCAAGCCGGTTTTCTTGAAGACAAGGTGATGGGATTCAGCAGAGGGTCAGGGCTGGCCAGGAACAGGACCCCACTCTCAACAGCTCACGGTTAACAAGGAATCTCAAAACTCACTGCCACCCAGTCGATTCCAAATACAGAGACCTTACAGGACAGAGAACTGCCCCTGTGGGTTTCTGTGGCTGGAAATCTTTACGGAAAAAAAAGAAAAAAAAAATCTTTACGGAAGCAGAAAGCCTCATTTTTCTCCCGCGGAGCGGCCAGTGGATTTGAACGGCCAGCTTTGTGGTTCGCCATCCACTGTGTAACCCATGTCACCACCAGGACCCCAAACAAGGAATGGAGCCAAAGCCGAGTAAATAAACATGTTCTATGACTCAGACCACCACACTACCCGGGCACCAACAAGATCACCACCACTACCACCACCTCATGCCCCTAAAACGGGAGGGGGAGAGGCAATGCAGTCCCAAATTGTGCAATTAAAACCAATGTCAAATGGGGCCACTTCAGCATGATATGTGTAAGTCTTGGTGAATGCCTTGCTTGGATTTCATTATTTGGGTTTTGTTTGAATAAGGGGGCAGGGGCAGGGGCTATCCCAATTTCTCTATGGCATAGGGTCTCTGTGTGCAGGGAGAAGGCTAGACCATTCCCAACGAAAGCTCTGTATCTATCTAAGAAAGAAGACAGGAAGTCCAAGCTCCCAAACCCTAGAGGGATTCCTGGATGTTGTACTTTGCAAATCATAGGGTTCACCATCAAGATAAAGATGTTCATCCCATCCTGGGGCTCCCTTCCCCAGACCCCAGACCCTTAAGCTTCCCAGCACTGCAACCTCCCATTCCCCACACCGGCCAAGGCTTCTGGGTTCCATGATGTGCAGCCTGCTCCACTGGGGTAGGGTGGGGGGAAGGGAAGCAACCAAAACACGTGGTGACCTGATGTCTCCGTGCAACATGTTCCAGTTTCTATTTGTGCCTGGGGTGGCGTGGGAGGCAGAACAACACACTCCATGCACATACTCTTTCTTAAGTCTCACTCACCTCTACACTTCAGAGTCCAGGGAGTCCAGTGACCCTGGTCCACATCCCAGAGGGCCACTCCCTGGCTGTGTGACCTTGGGGGTTGCTCTGACCTCTCTGTGTTGAGGCTGTCCTAGGCTGCACAATCCTAATAGCAGTCCTAATGAGAAGGATTGCTGAGATACTAGATGAGATCATGCCTCCTGGCATCTCCCCTGGCCCACAGAGAGTGTTCCAGCAATACCAAACACTTTATTACAATTTCCTGTAAGAATTATCCATGAATGTCGCAGGTTATAGGACCTCCACGTTCATTCAAGGATGATGATGATTGTTATGGTTGTTGTCATCAGTTCCTTAGATTAACTGGGGCCTGAAGAAGCAAAATGACTGAGAGAGCACCTTCTGGCAATACCATTTGGACAAAATCCTGCAGGAAGGCCTAGAAGGTTCTAAGATTGTTCTAGGGAAGGAGGGTCACACTGGCTGTCCACAAGACTCACAAGGATGGTCAGAATTATTACATACACTGTGGCTGTGTTCTGACGGTACATCAGCCCCCCCAGCAGTCACTTGGGGATCCTGGTCCTGTACTGAGATCACAACTCAGCATCAAGAGCAGAAAAATAAAAAGAACCATGCCGTGTGCTATGGCCGAGGCCAACTAACTATACAATGTAAAGTAAGAACCACGTGTCTGTGAAACACACCCAAGGACCCCGGAGAGGATCGGGTCCCATCCGGGCTACCTCTCTCTCCACGTGGATGGCAGCGATCCAAGGCCGTCTGCTTCCCCAAGGCAGGGCTGAGCTGCAATTGGCCGGACCAGATCGAGGGCCACTCAGTCAAAGAGGAAGAAGGACGGTGTTGTCTACAGTCCAGAAGCCTCCTCCTCTGAGCTGGTCAGGAAAGGTGTCCAGCCCAGGCAGGCAGAGGGCCTAGGCTTTGGTCAGCATGGCTCCCTCGCCAGCCCGCCTGCCGCTCGGGAGAAAAACACTTAGGAGCCAAGGGTTGCATTCGGACTGTGCAAATCCAACCCAGCTCATGGGCCAGGAACCACACAAACTGGAGTGGGTCCGGCAGTTCACAACCCAAAAATAGAACTCCTTCTTTCCAACCCAGAAACACTCTAGCCAGGGACAGAGGGTGGGAAGGACACAGGCTACACAGGCGAGGGGAATGGGGGAGGGGAGGGATGGTGTATGCAAGAAAGGGACAGAAGAAACTCATCATTTCTTTCTTTTCCCTTTCAAGAGAACCTAGTTTCATGCAAAATCCTACACCCAGCCAAGATAAAACCACAGTTACAAAAGGCCCCCTTAACCAAAAAATCACACAACAGTCACCTCCAGGCACAGGGTCCCTGTGGGCCCAGACTCCCACTTGGGGTGCCAGTCCAGCCCACATGCCCACTCCAAGTCCACACCTTCAAGCAGCAGCTTCCATCCGATGCCCACCGACCGGGCAATCCACCTGGCTTGTCCTCCCCACAGAGCTGAATGGGTCCTTTGGTCAAAAGGCAGGTCTTTCCCTTAATCCACCTTCTGGGAAGTTCCAAAGAATCATGTAAGCCACTGCTCTTAAGAGTGTTAGAAGGCACAGGATGGTGACAAGTGAACAAGTCTCAACTTGTCACCCCAGTATGCAAAACAGGTCTGCAACATCCTATAGCAAAAAGCAAGGCAGGCCCAGGACTCTGTCCCAAAGGCCCCCACCCACCTGCCCCACACAAACACACGTTTCTCCCCAGCAACTGAGCAACCCCACGGAGCTCCCAGAAACTTAAACAGCAGAACCACACGCTCTGGCCCCTAAACCCTCAGGAGAGGTTTCCTCTCTTCCCTCACCTTCTAGACAGGCCTTGAGGCAGAGGCTGGAGCAAAGAGAAGACTAGCCCGCGCCTGCAGTGTCCCGGGACAATCGGGGATGGATCGGCACACGGACACGCACGCGCCGCATGGCCGCCCTTCCTGAAAGTCTACAGGCAGGCAGACCAGACACTGGCATAAAGAAGCGCACGCGAGCCGACGCTGGGCAGAGCCAATGAAATCAACAACCCCATCCTCTACAGGAGGACCTGATAAGGGGGTCGGTGCGCCCAGCAAACCCAGAGATGCGATGCCACCGCAGGGAGGTTGAAAAACAAAACACAAAAACACACACACAGACGTGCGGAGTGTTTGGAAATCACTTCTCCCCACCCCCATCCCCCACCTCCCCCCTCACCAGTCCTGGAGGGGCTGGGGATGGTCCAGGGACAAGAGCTCCAGTTTCGCAAAGGGACTCCCAAACCCTATCAGCGCCCCCAAATCTGCACTGACTGGTAGGGGGTCGCGTTTAGAGACGGCCGAATCCGCCCCTCATCCAGAGCATATAAATCCGGAATTCTCTCGAGGCGCCGTGCCACCCCTCCCCCTCCCCCACCCCACCCCGAGCGCCCGAACTCACTGCCAGTCCAGAGTCAGGTGATGAATCGAACGCGCGATGAACTCACAGACTTCGGGTCCGGAAAGCCCCTTTCCAGCGCCCAACTCCTCACCGCGCAACCCCACGCCAGGCCCGGGCCCGCGAGTCTCCAGCAAAATTCGAACTTACGGGGGGGTGTATCCAGCCGCGTCGCCACAGGTCACCGCCGCATCCCTCCGC